AGAAGCCTTTCTTGATCGGCACAGGTAAACCTGGTTTCACGAGGCATACCTGTGCTGATCAAGAAAGGCTTCTTTGTCGGCGCGTCGCGTCCAGACTGCCCCGATCTGCCGACAAACAGCTGATCGGCAGAGCGGGGCAGCCATTTTAATTTAAATGAAGCCGCGATTATTTTAATCGCGGCTTCATTTCCCTCTGCCGATCTGGCTAATCTACATGCCTCCGTCAACGGAGGCATGTAGTTTAGACGTACCCTGAGTCCCATGTTCAGGTCAGTGAGTGTGTCCCAAGGGGCGGGGTGGGAGCAGGACACCAACCTTGCAGGGAAGGGTGGGGTGTGTGTGTGGCAGAGACATCACAAAAGCTGTTGCGGGACCTCAGATGATTAGGGGAAGGTGGTGGGGAGATGGTGACCTCACCCAGAGACTCTGAGATCAGCCAGGCAGGAAAGAGGAGCCAGGTGAACACAAGTCAGGGACTTCCCCTCCATGGCTTTGTGGGAGGCCATCCCGGAGAGATGGTGCTGGAATTACTTTGAGACCGATCCCCTCTGGTGGTGACCCTGGCTGGCTTCTGAGTGATGGGCTCACGCCCTTCACCCCTCCCATGTCCAGCCCCCAGTCAGATCCAGGAATGAGATGTGTCACCTTGATGTGTCTATTGATCCTGGTCTGCCTCTCTCCCACACAGCATGTCAACTCCTGCGCTGGGCCCAGAGTGTCCCAGGGGAGAGCCAAGGCCATAAGGAGCAGCAGGAGCCTGGTTCTGATTCACCATCCCCCTCCTTGGATTGGATTTAAGAGACCTCTCCCCCTCTCCCTGACCCCAGGCAAAGACAGGTGGCTCCCACAGGCTGTAGAACCTCCAGCTGCAGGGACTGTGGGGTGGGCGTGTTCCCCTGAGGCAGGCAGAGCCAGAGCAGGGAAGGAATTAGACTTCTGTCCAGTTCATCTTCTCCGGGTTCAGTGGAGACCCTGGGCCTTTAAGGTTCCTGCCTGGCGTTGGGTCCCTTCTTGTTCTTCTGCAGGAGCTGGGGGTGGAAGTCCATGTCCCTTTGCTCCAGGACCCCTTGGGAAAGAAATATTCCTGGCCCCGGGGAGATTGAGAGTGGACAGGAGAATACTGATGCAGCCCCCCTCTCTTCCCTTCTCTTCGACCTTAGCACTAACCTCACCTAGGGAAGGTGGTGGCTTAGCTGTGACGGTCCATGTGTGACCCAGCCCAGGACATGAGCCAGCTGGCCAGGGAGGGGATTTCCCGGCTTTGCAAACTGCGGGGACCCCAGAGGTAAGGAAACCCGCTGGGAAATGAGGCCCACTAGAACAGTGACACTGATAGAGGCCAGGCAATGGGACCCCTGCAGGAACAATTCACCTCCCCTCTGAGACTGTCCCCCAGTGGGTAACGGGAGCCCTGTCAAAATGTGCCACGTCCCCTGAGATGGAGGAACCCCCCGCTGAGCATGCAGTGGACTGAGCCACTGCCTATAGGGCCCCAGGCTGGGACCTGGTGGAGTGAGGGGGCCCAGCCCCACTACCCTCCCTCTGCAGCGCTCCGGAGCAGAGGAAAGCCCGCAAACCTGTGGACTAGGCCACGGGGCCGTATTTACCCTGATACGGGGAGCCCTGCAAGGACTAGGTCCCAGGGCATATTTACCCCAACTATGGTACCTTTCATTCCACCAGCCACCTGCCCTGAAGGACATGGATAATAGTGGATATCTCGGGCATATGGGATTTTTGCTGCTGCTCTGGTTCCTGTGTTAGACCCTGCTGCACATGACCATTTATGGAAAAACAGCAGGGGGAAAGGGTCCCTCAGGCTGGGGAGGTTTGGGAGGCGAGGGGAGCAAAGAAAGGAAAAGTCTGCCCTGGAGCACTGCCATGGGCTGTCAAAACTCTGCAGCCACATTGTGCTGAAACCAAGTCCTCTGACCACAACACAAACTAAAGAGCTTCGTAAAAAGCACAAAGGAAGAGGTAAAGATGTAT